TTTTTTTTTTTTTTTAATGTTCTGTTTATTTATAAATACTCTAACCGTTATCTGAAGTGCAGTAAAACAGTCTGAGGTTACTGCAAGTATTTACTCTTCATATGAAGCGTGTAAGCAACGTGTAGCGCCCGGGCTGATAGCATCAGCAGATAGGATCACCGTTAATGGACCCGAGCAACGCTGAGAAAAAAAAAGCCAGGGAGGGTGGTTTGACTGTGCAGCCTGCAAGAGCGATGAAGGGGCGCTCTGGGAGTTGAGACCGAAATCCACTTGTATTCCTGTAACACTATCGGCCATAATTGGCTGAGGAACGCAGATTAAGATTGATGAGACATTAAAGTGGCTCTTTGGAGTTTAAGGGATCGATAAATATCCTGATTTCGAGAGCTTTCGTTTGAGAGCAGACAAATCACTGTAACGGTGCTCCACAGCGACACTGATCTGAGAACATGGAGGTTGGAGCAGAGGAAGAGAGGGAGGGAGGGAGGAGACTGAAATAAAGATGTGATCACTATCAGCTGGCAGGGTCACAAACCCACCTTTGAAATTCTGGACAATTATTTGGACTTGAGAAGAAGCTTGTAGTTTTATTGTTTTCCTACATGTTTTAATGTGTACGAGGTATATTGGAGAATAAAAGAAAAGCTTTTTTTATTTTTTATCCATTTATAGGCTGATGCCCAATTTAAAACAACCCTGAAAACCAGTGATGTAAATTCATATTTTACAAATGTTCTACAAATGCTTAATCTGACCATGTGCGAGAAATAATAAATTGTTTTATTTTATTTAACTTCATAAAAACCTATTTTTCTCAATAGTGGTGGTTGCTTGCATTGGGATTCGATCAGATCATAAAAAAACAACCTTTTTTTTATGAGTCCATCACAGGTTTACAAACACGTAAACAAATATGTTTTAATGACAACTATTATCTATTTATAGGCCTAATAAATCTGCTGTATTATGCGCATGTAGTCATGTGCAATGCAAAGACAAAAGGGCGCCTTTGTTTTATGGCGCTTTAAATAATAAAGACTAATACAATTACGACTTTAACGGAGCAGCCATAATGCCAACATTTGAATGAAATACGATAATTTAAAAACGACCTAATGTTTATACGCGCAGGGTGTTTACGCACGTAGCGGCACAGTTAGACGCAAACAGGCAGCAGGCATTTTGTTATCCATTGTAATCGCGCTGATCAGTTTTACACAGCGAACCTCAGTCTTGCTTTATTTCACATAAATGCCATCTTTACTGACTGTGTTACCGTGGCTGCCCCCCTCTGCACTCTGCAGGCCCAGTGGTCCTGAGCAGCCCGGCCCAGCTTGTTGCCCCTGTCCTGGTGGCCCGGGGGACTCTTTCCATCACCACCACTGAAATCTACTTCGAGGTAGACGAGGATGATCCTGCCTTCAAAAGGGTCGACCCAAAGGTAAGTAACCTGCAAGCAAGTGTGCAGCCCAAGTTTATAAAGCGGGCAGTTTTCCCTCTCATTGTAACAGGCCGACAGGTAATAAATATTCACTATATTTAAAATCTACAATTGTTGGTTTATAAAGGAAAACCGTGGACTTGCACAGGTGATGTTTTCAGAGGCGCGCTGCGCTTCTGTCCATGCTCTGCTCTTTTATATTATATGTTGACGTTTTGTGCCCAGAAGTTTGTTGTAAATCACGGTTGAGTTTCATTCTGTGTGTTTGAATTTGCAGCATTATTTATGCATTTTTAAAAAAATCATATAATGTCCACTGAGGCCTACTCATCGTGCTCAACCATCAAACAGTGGTGACAGTTTATCCACCAAGTTAACAGGTTATCTGCTTAATGTTAAAATAAATTACACGCAAAAAAAGGGTTTAAAAAGAATTCAAACTGGTTGACAGTGGTGCAGATCTATTTAAAGTATTGTGTATGAAAATGATTCCTTCCTTATTTCCCTATTCTCATTTTAAGCTGTCAGACTCATCCAGAACACCTACAAGAGCCAGAGACCCCGAAATTAAAGATTCCATATATTATTATTGCGGGGCATTAGGCCTATAAGTCACTAAAAATACATTTAATAAAACCATAATGGGACACAAATATAAAACAGCTCGTTTTATTAGCTCTTTAAATTAGATCAAAGACAGAAATTAAAAAAATCAGATCACAGATGTTATAATCCAGTGTATTTCAAGTGCATTTTTTTCAATTAAACTGTAATATATATATACTATATATATGTTTTCATTTTCATTTTTTCATGTAGGCCTAAGCATGGTAGAGAAAAACAACAACCAAAAAAATGTTCGAGTACTTTAAATAATAATTCAAGTAAATTGATGGAATGTTTTCAATGTAACAAATGTCGTACGCCTACCATCAAAATGTAAACTTTCAAAAATTAGACAATGTCCATTGAAACAGATGAATCAGACTACCACTGATGCAAGTATAAATTAGAAAAACGTTTCTACCAGATAAAGGAAAAGTTCAGAAGTAGATTTAAACAGGTGGATCCTATTTACGTGTCACAGAACAACATTCACAATTTCAGACCACTTGAATCACAACCTATGAATGTATTTACAGTATAAAATGTACAGATGTGTGTTTTTATTTTTTTCCTCCAAAGTTTGGAACGGGGCTTTATTTTAAAGCATTTAAGAAAATGTAGGATTTAGGCAACCGTGTGGCACGGAGAGAATAGGAGCCACTGTTGAGGTGGACTCCTGGATTAATGGTAGCCAATAATTTAAACTTGCTCCTAAATATTGACACCGGTCAAAAGGTGCACGGGGAGAATGGCAAACTAAACTGTCTGTCATAAAATGAAATAAAAATCATCTTGAAACAGGCTAGGCCAAAACATATTTAACAACAGAGGACAGTCACTTTTTCACAAGACTTTGCAAATTGGTTGGCATTATTTTTCCTGTCCGTTTATGAGCTCGTTACGCCTCTTTACCACAATTTTTAAGACGAGGTGAACTAACATATTTTACCTCAGAGTTTCTCCAAGCTTTTGGGGTTGGTCAGTATTTCTCTTGCCAGTCGCCAAGTCTGTTTGGCTGCGTTCTCAAGAGCAGAGTGAGGTTTTCCTTGAAATAGGTCTAAATTGGGCAGGAAATAATGCGGGCACCTTCTGCACTGCAAACATGAAATAAGCTGCAATAGTATCCCGTTCAGACGGTCGCCGAGGCAGTTCTCATCCCAGTCCGACTCCCTGGGATGCTTCTCACACTCATAGGAAACCAAAGTTTTCATGTGGTAGTTGTTCAGGGGTTGTCCGGGCAGTTCGAGGTGCCGGTCGCGTAAGGCTTTAAGGACTGACAAGCATTTCTTCCTGCATCCACCCAGGAGGAGCCGGTTCTCGGCCTCGGCGAACTGCAAGACCCAGGCGTCGCTCTCTGCTGAGCTCTGCTTGCCGTTCAGGGAGTAGCACTCTTTGGATAAAAGATTGAAACCTTCCGCTTTCACTTCTGCCACTCGGTTAGGTCCCGGCCAGGGGATGTGAGGGAGAGGCCAGTGCGCAGCGCTTCGTGGCCAGATGCCTGTGCACTTGAAAGCCGGCGTGATTTGCACCACATATCTGTCTCTAATGCGCAACTTCACCTCACTTGTGTCAGCGACCATTTTGACAACATCTCTGTAGCTGCATTTATCCACTGCCTGCGCCACCAGTGTCTGAAATCTCGAACGGATTTTGCGCGCCGAGAGGTAACCGGAGGCTGTGATGAATTCAACCCAGAGAGACATGCTTCTCTTGCGGCCGTCGCTGAGCTTGAGCACGGCGCAGCCCGGGAGGGATCCGTCATCCACAAAGTTGAATACTCCCATCTGATTCAGATAGAGCACAACCTCGAACTCGGTTGGTGAAATGACCTCCAGTCCCTCGAAACGATTATCCATCTCGCTGAGAGAGCTGATGAAGCGGGGTTCCTGCACCTCGACCTCCTTCAGGACATCCGATACCACCTTGCACACCTCCCGGATGGTCTTGGAGATGGCTGCTTTTCGAGATTGACATTTCTCGTTGTAGTATTTGTTCAGGTGATACACCAGTTTTGCCTGGGCGGCTATCATATTAGGGCAGAGATCCGGGTTATACACCGGAGTCTCGCAATAAGCCGAGGGATCCAACGCGGCTGTTTGTACGGGAGCCAATTTTAGAGAAGAAAGAAAGCTATTTAAAAAGAAAAAAAACTGTCTATTTATAAGACAACTATTCAAAGCTGTGCACAGAGCACATGCGTAATAATCATATCATAACATTCACAGCTGTTGTACCGTAAACTGCATTGAAGTGCTCGGAGCAAGTCCTCGAATTTATCAGGATGGCCTGATTAAAAGTCCATTTCAACCGTGTGAGGTTCAGCAACTGGAGAAAAAAAACGCCTTTTGGTTTTTCTCTGATCACTGTGCCAGTTAGGAGTCCGCGTAATTGCGCAGAGTGGAGTGTGCCCTCCTGACGCAGACGCCCGGTGTTGCTGTGTTTTACAACAGGGAGACACACACACACTCTTTATTATAAGGGAGGAGTTGAAACCAAGATGTCCAATCGCTGTCTGATGCGTCACCGCTTCCCAGTTTATCGAAAACAAATTCATCCCCGGGTGTTATATACAAGTAAAAAGTACAGGTAGTAGTAGTATATCGAGGAGCGGAAGTACACCTACGCATTTGGAGAGAAGAAAAAAAAACAACAACATTTTCACTGCGTTACGTTGCTTTTTCTTGGACTCTATCTCCTGCTTTTTTAGTCAGCTATATTTATGAAACAGTAGATGGATTTAGGATTGTTTAGTATGTATGTCTTCGGATAATAAAACATTTCAATTTGCCATTTAAATCTTTTCTTTTTCTCCAGTGGACCGGATCCATTTTTCTAAGACACATCAGATGAATTGAAATTAGAGTAATTTAGGGACTTTGAAGTTACGCAAAATATACTTCTATTTTATTAATAACGTTTGGCTTAATTTTGCGTTTTGTTTTTGAAGCTATAAAATACTCATGGATAAGTTTATTAATTAAACCTTTAGTTAGTTAAATTCATTGAACAGCCTGATGAGGTACCAGGCTTTTTTTCTGACAGATGAAAATGTCGTTGCGCTATTTATATTTAGCCTTGTGATTCTATCTGACAAATTAATGATCATGGCTGTGATCCATAGGAGAGTTTATATCTAGGGTTTGTGTTTAAGCATGCAGATTGAGAAGAAGGCGGATTTGTTTGTCTCTTTTACTGTGCGGAACACCTTGTACTGTAGTACAACAATTCCACGCGCCACTATTTTTCAGTCATTTAATTAATGTATATTGTAAGAATAAAAAAACCTAATTGTGATCTTAACATACATTTCTTTCTTACATTGCTCAAAAATGAAATGTATATTAAGATTCATATTACAGTGTTTTATTGTGTTCATCTGACAAACGAAAGAATGTATACAATATTTTTTTCTCCTATTATTTATATATAAAATGCTTATGATATGGAAATTAGTATTGTTTTTGTTTTAATAAATACCAATCCTCAAATTTCATTATTAAATTAAAGAGAATAATATACATTGGTATTTTACAACCTGTTATTGTTACTGATGAATATGTTTTTCTTCAACAACAAGATAATAACATCAACAGCAAAACAATCTTAAACCTTAAACTTAAAATGTTAAAAAGGAGGGGAAAAGCATTAATTGCTAAAAAAATCTAACAATTATGGTTGGCCATTTAATGAAAAGTCCCATATGTGTTGTTTTTAGGTACAGTTATGTTGCTCTTATACAGTCAGTGATTCACAATAAAGAGATCTTGCATCCACACTAAACCCTCTCTGGCTCTCATCACTGCACTGGCACTCCATCTCACAAGGTACAGTGGATGCTTTGAAGAGGACTTCAAAAAGATAATGCTGCACGGATCAGATAAGGAACACAAAGGCATTTACACTCATCTCTGCTCTAGTCAGAGCTGCATTAGACCAGACATTATGAGGGCAAAGCGCCGCACGTCAGCTCTGACTCTCACTACATGGATACGGCTGAGCAGGAGGTGGCGTGTGCGGGAAGGACCCTGATAGATAGGTGACTCCCATTATCATCACAGCCTGTCATGGACACACTGCAGCTTCTTGGCAAGACCCAGTGATAATTTCACACAGTTACCAGGCAGAAATTACAGATAGTAGCATCTTTTTTTCATCATAAATCTAATTGTGAGACATGATAGAGGTCTTTATTAAGGTTAATTCTGAAATTAAATAATACGATTAGGCCAATATTCTAGTTCTCATCACATTTAGGACTGATTAAATTTCACAAGCAAAAATTTATATTCTCACTGACATCTTTCTGGAGGATATGGAGGACATTATGGAAGGTTTTCATGTGGTGAGAGGTAGCTAAAAGCCTTTTCCCCTCTCAGGCTTTGATAGTCTTTTCT